TTGGTCCGACCTTATTGAATATTGGAAGAACTTTGAAGGGATGTAAAAAGAAAATAAAAATAAAGTCGTTTCCAAGTCCAGCTTAATATCTGAGGACCAAATAGACAAATACACTGAGCGGTCTTGGCTATATTAGCCATGTGGCTCGCCACTGCCTTTTTTTGGACACTGAAAGCTTACATTCGCTTCCTGAGAAATCATATTTTTCTGCTTAATTGTCAGTCCGTCAGCACCTTACATGTGTACAAAAGTGACCCAAATTAATGGCCCAAGCAATATCGGCTCCCTGATTTGGGGAGCAGCTTTGCAAATGAACGTATATGGCCTGGGAGGAATTGGGAGGCAGGTCTTTATAAACGAAGAACTTGACATTCTTATACGCCCTCAGCCTCTCATTATTCTTTGTATGCTTAAGAAGCTGTCAATCTGATTCTGGACCGATACAAATCTCAAAACCCGCTGACTTTTCCCAGTGCCCTTGCCCTGGGCTTTACTTCAAGGGATCTTTGTTGGCCCCCAAACCTAGCGTAGCTTCGAGGGCTAACAAAGCAGGAGACCTTATGCCATTATACCAGACCAAAGACTCCCCAACCTTTTCTTGAAAACCTCCAGCCGTGAAGCACCCACACACCAGGAGGCCAGCTGTCCCATTAATTAATGGATGTCGCTCTCGGGAAATTTCTCCTTAGTTCCAGATTGGATCCCTCTTTTTCCACCTGTTACTTCTTTTCCTGCCCTCGGATGCTTTGGAGAATAAACCAACCCCCTCCTTTTTACCCGAAAGCAAGGAAGCGTGGTCCGGTAAGTGCAAATATAAATTCCTGTCCAGACATCCAAATGACTGAGGCGGGCAATGCTGTGGAGATTAAAGTAAGTGGAGGAACTCTCAGATGCAACAGGGCGGCTACAGCCTGTTCTCACCTTCCAAAAGCAACTTGCAGGGCTTTCAAAGAGGTACGAACTGACAGCGATGTGCGATTTGAACCACCTTCACACCAGTGGTGAGGTGGTCCTGCTAGGTAATCCCCAAATTATTTGCTTAACCTGCCTGATCCTTCTAGGAAATTCCAGTTTTATTTGCTTAACAACTTTCTCCTGCGGAGGGTGAAGGGAGACGCGAGAGAATCCGCTGCCCTCAACGTGAGGCCAAGCAACCGGCCGGGCTCAGCAGAGGGAACGTTGGGTAGGTGACCACGAAATACTGGAGTTCCTGATTTTGGAGGCAACTGAAAAGAAGGAGAGTCAACGGATATGATCGTTTATTTCTCCTCCTCTTTCCCAAGTCTGGAAGTTCCTAAACATACTTAGACAAAGGACAATTCCGTATGCTTGTTTTCTCCCAGAAAGCCTCACTGTTTGATAACATTTAATATAACAAAGCTACATAATGGGAATTGCTTTCTAGAAATGTCCCTCGGCCACCTGTGTATTCCTCTCTCCAAGTAGAAGTCTCTGCAGCAATGTTAGCAGGGTCCATTGCTCAGAGGACACAATTTCTCTGTCAGAGCTATTAAGCTGTATTGCTATGATGGAATAATGAAACACCACAGAAGAAAAACAGACCCTCCTTGTGGTGGTGACGGGGACCCGTGGTGAAGAGAGCGACCAGCCAGGATTCTTGACTGTTGGTCATTGCCAAGGACGTCTCTACCTTGGACTTCTGCAGGCTGATGCAAGAGAAGAGCTTATTCTTGAGCCAGCTGGGGCATCACATCTGGGGAGAAAGGATGAAGGCCGTCTCAGATGTGCTTTCCTTGGCCAAGCCCTCCAGCTCTTCTCCGAGAGGCAGCGCCATCTCCTCCACCTGTTCCTCCAAGTCAACCGGGTTCCTCCTAGACACAAGGCATGATGAGGCCACGAAAGCCTTTGGCCTTTGGCAAGCTTGGAAAAAGCTCCTCAGACGGCCAGCAAGGGAACCGAATTTGCGGTGGAAAGAGGATGTTTGTCTGCTCCTGTCTTCTGCCGTTTCATCCACAGCTTCATCATGAGGATCACTGCTCTGTTCTGGTGGTCCGTTTCCTGTATCTTCTTTCTGTTGCTTACTCAGCAGGAAATAGACTAGACTGGTGAGGATCAGCTGGGTGCCTGGAAAAGGAGGAGGGCAGACAGAGGAGGGGAGGGGATGGAGGGAAGGAAGGAAGGAAGGAAGGAAGGAAGGAAGGAAGGAAGGAAGGAAGGAAGGAAGGAAGGAAGGAAGGAAGGAAAGCTGAGGCTATCCTGAGTAGGATAAAATACATAGCAAAATACAGGGAGACACCAGTGATTCCATCTAGCAGCTCAAACGTCTTGCTTCTCCAATCATTTTGATCTTGGATTCCCTCCAATAATTTTCACATATTCTTTTTTATTTTTAAATCAAGACTTCCTGAAGTTTAATCAGCTAATTCCTTCCATCTGTTTGCAGGACACGGGGAGAGAAAGCTAAACCCGGGGTCTCTCAACCTTGGCAGACTGAAGATGGGTGGACTTCAGCTCCCCAGGGTGACTTCCTCGGCCTGGGCTCCAGCCCCTCTTCTCTGACCGTTGCCTTGGTGGCACCCATGCCGCCTTCCTGCCCCTCAAGGCCATTCCCTCTGCCCTCTGCCAAGGGTGAATTTGGGTGCCCTCCTTCTAGACAGAAGGTCTTTGAACCCTCTCCCGATTGCAGCAGCCATTCCCAGCTTCTGCCCCTTCCTCCCCGGGGCCGTGGGACCGCCCCCACTTACCTGGGAACACGACCTGCCAGACGTGGACAGGGCTGAGGAAGCAGGCGATGGAGAGCAAGGCATACGCCAGGAACTTCTGGAAAGCTCCCCGGTGTTTGGCTCGGAGCCAGCAAGTGTGCATGGCGGATCCCCTCCGGGGGCTGCAAAGAGGGACAGGGGCTGACCTCCATGCCGTCCTCCGTCAGGAGGACCCTCAGCAAAAAATATTGCACATTTTCAAGGCTGGGAGACCACTCAGAAAGGGTGCGCTGGAGGGGCCTTCTCTCTCCCGTCTCCTCCCTTCCCTTCTCCAATCTTTCCCTTTGTCTTTCATCCACGGCTCTCATCCCCCAGAATCCCTCTGCATTTCTGGAAACCTGCAATACCACAATGCCTTTATGCTGAACTGCCTCGAATGCCGAATATTGATCGACCCGGCAGTTGGCCATAGGGAAAGTCCCTTTACGTGGGCTCCCACGTGAGGCCCTGGACCTAACTGGGGACCATTTTCCTGTCAAAGGGAGGACAGGAAGGAAACTCACACGAAGCAGGAGATCAGGAGGAGGCTGGCAAAGTAGGTCACTTCCCAGAGAGAAACTGCCATTCCTGAAACACTGAAGCATGAAGATCCGTTAAGGGAGGCAAACTGAGGGCAGGCGAAGGCAACCCCCTGCGGGACGTCGGCCGTGCCGGCGGCCACTTCAGGCCCTGCCCAGACAAAACGCACAGGATGCCCGGAGAGAAGCCTGAAGGCCTCATCATCTCTGCCGGCCTCCTACTAGGCCAGGAGTAGGCCACCTTGGCTCTTTTATGACTCGTGGACTTCAACTCCCAGAATTCCTGAGCCAGCCATGCTGAGGGAAAAGGGAGAAGTTTCCAAGCTGAGCCATGCTGGCTCAGGAATTCTGGGAGTTGAAGTCCACCAGTCACAACAGAGCCAAGGTGGCCTACCCCTGCCCTAGGGAGAAACGTTAAGCAAGCATCAAGCGTCAGAAAACAAGCACGGCTCGATCTCGGCTTACAGCCTTAATGGAATTGCCCAAGCATGGCAGTCACACAGTGGGTCCCCCCACTTCAGCTTCACAACTTTGGGTGGTCGCGAGTTCCAATGGCTGCTGAACAAGCTCTTTAAAGAGAGAGCCCAACCTGGGCCTGGGAAGGGATTGCCTGACAGGGAGAGCAAGGAAATCAGGGGAACGGCTCGGCCTCCAGAGGTTGTGGGTGCTCCATCACTGGAGGCCTTTTAAGAAGAGACCGGGCGGCCATTTGCCTGGAATGGCATGAAGTCTCCTGCCTTGAGCGGGGGGGTGGGCTAGAAGACCTCCAAGGTCCCTTCCAACCCTATGGTTCTATGTTCTATGTAGCCAGATATGGCAACTACCTGTTGCCTTCATCCGTGGGGGGGGGGGGTGATTATTAAGCTTAATCCCTGTTGCTGTGTTACCCTACATGAACAATGGCTGCTCCTTCTCAGGACCGATCTAAAGTAAACAGAAACAGAGAGATGTCCTTACTTCTTCCATTAATCTAAGACTGCTTTGAAGGTCTGGATAACATCACAACACGAAATTTTAAAATAGGCTTCCACATTAAATCCACAAATGGATTCCCACAGCCATTTTGAGACGGGGGTCTAATGTAGTACCATTAATATGACTAATGGGGCGTGGGAGTTAATGCATTGTGTCCAACATGTATATTTCCACATTTAATCAATCTTGGAAGCCATGGTGGATCACCCTCTTCCATCCCCGGTGATTTGGCCAGCCCCCAGCCCCCTTTTAGTCTTTCAGAAGACCATCAAGAACCTGGCTTTTTACCAAGGCCCTGGGATAGGATAGGATAGGATAGGATAGGATAGGATAGGATAGGATAGGATTAATGGAATGAGGGTATTGGAGTTTGCTATGGGAAGATTACAAAAAATTTGCTTTTGATTGTTTTATGATTATCTTTTATAGTTATGGCTTTACTGCTGTTGTGAGCCACCTAGATTTGTTTAAGATGGGCAGCCACACGAATCTTTTAAATACATAAAAAAAATCTACACAATTTCAACAACAAGGCTGCTTCTGAGGTACGGCATCTGCGAGGAGTTTTGGAAAACCCACTTTGCAAAGTCAGCCATTCTTTCCCCACTGATCAGAGAATGTGTGAACTGGAAAAGGCCTCGCCGGCTTTGGGAGTGGAACAGCACATGAGCTTCATCAATAAAATGAAAATAAAATATATTTGCTCCAGTCTCTGGACATTCCAGGATTAAAGAAGCTGGGTGAAATGGATGTTATTTACATAATCTTATGAAAAATGACATATTCGGGTAAATTGATGTGAGTTTCTTTAAGTAATGTGAGATTTGAGCTCACGGTGAGGTTAATGCAACAGAATTTTTATTTTGCTTGTCTTTTAATTGCTACATTTTGGGCTCAAATCCACAAGAATATTAACTTAATATGAGTTTAATTTGTTCAGTTGAGATGCATATGTTCCTCTTGGCTACACCCCCATTATTTTAAAACTTTTAAATACTTTTCATGCCTGGAGGAACAATCAATAACATTTAGCACTGAGGGGATAAATCTGTATCACATATTACAGCAATGGATATTTTACTTGTCAATATTTACATCACAGCTTTTGTTCTGGACAAAAAGAAGAGGGCATTTTGAGGTAGTTTTGTTAGTGATCTTATTTTTTTTTCCTTTGAGTCCCTTAATTTTGATATTTTGTTTTATTGTTTTCATTTTACTTTTCCCTTTTGTATTTCTTTTTTTTAAAAAAAGACAAAGAGTGTGGAACAATCATGGCTGACAGTATTTAATATTGATTTGCTACGTATATGTAGGGATGTGGGTCTATACATATGTTCATAGTATGTTTAGGTGTGTGTCATGTATGTGTTTCACTTTGAGAGCGGGCAACTAAATTTCATTTTTGATGTGTGTCATTGTGCCCACAGTAAAATATGACAATAAAGGTTATCTTATCTTATCTTATCTTATCTTATCTTATCTTATCTTATCTTATCTTATCTTATCTTATCTTATCTTATCTCATCATTTTATCTTATCATCTTATCTTATCTTATCTTATCTTAAGGCTTTAAAACAAAACTCTGTTCTGTGTAGCAATCGGCTTATATTTAATTAAAATAATAATAAAGCACAGAACGGTTGGGAAGGTGCAGGGGTTTCCAGAAGGAGGGGGGGGGAGAGAGCCGGGCTGGCCTAGTGGTTATAGGGCTGGCCTAGAAACCAGGTGACTGTGAGTTCTAGTCCAGCCTAATAAAGTTGGGTGCTTGGTGAGCCATCTCACAAGGAAGGGGTGATGGAGGCAGGAGGCAGGAAGGAGAAATAAAACCCCTCAGGCGTTGTTAGAAACACAGAGAGAGGTTTCTGAAGGAAAGAAAGATGCCCAGAAGCCAGGGAGGAGAGAAAAAGAGCTGCCCTCATCCTGACCCAAACGCTTTGCAAAACACTTAAAATCCTTGCAAATAAGGGAGAAAGGATCTGCCCCCCCCTTGCTGTAAAGAACCCCCGGGAAGGCAATTATTATTATTCACTAACATAAAATGTGAAGAAAGCCCAGAGCCTGGATGCTATTAAAGGAAGCTGCTAAAGGAAGCCAGAGAGATTTATCGTGTGAAACCCACCCAAGGCCCACCCCAGTGGACCCTCTCCCCGTTCCTCCATGCTCACTTCCAGGGGGCCAGAAGGTGACTGTCTTCTTCTGGGCTTTTGATGGGCTTCCCAGAAGCTCCAGCTTTGCTGTCAATAAACATTCAGAAGATAAACACCGAACTAATTCAGGAGGGAACCTCTTATTCTTCATGTGGCAGGGCACCCAGAATGCATTTTTTCCCCACTGGGCCCTAGTTTAGAATAGCAAAGGCACCCCAGGCGTAGCTGAACTACAATTCCCGTTAGAGGTATCCAAGCCAAGGGAGGCAGGGTGCTCAACCTGGGGGAATCCCCTCCAGAACGACGGAGGCCGTGATGTGGCTCAAGAAGGGGCCCGGAGGCGCTTTCCTTCCCTCAGACCCGGCGGCAGCCATACTCACAGGAGGTAAAGGGCCAAGCTCTTCGGCTGTCCGTGCAGGAGGGCGTCGATGCCCACGCCAAGGAGCACTGGGATGCAAAAGAAGCGGAGCAAGCACGTTCGTGAGTGGCATTGTCTTAACAACGGGAGGGTGTCATCCATGCCCCCTTGGAGAACGAGGGAAGTCGCGTGGGGCATGGCACAATGTTGCAAATAACACAAATGCCATTACTCGGGTCATTTTAACGATCTGCCACAACACACATAACACGACTGCATCCCACGCCAGGCTTTGCCCATCTACAGCAATATCAGCCTTTCTCCTAGCCATTTCCAAAGAAGGGAGCACTGGTGGGACGTCCGTCCCATTCCCACCCACTTAATGGGGTCTGATTCAGAGTCTGCCAGGACGAGTCCCTGCGGTTTTCTTTGCAAGGCTTTCCAGAAGCGGCTTGCCATTGAATCCTCTTCGCTAGGGCTAAGAGAAAGTGACTGGCCCAAGGTCACCCAGCAAATGCTATGGTCGTTAACTGAATCCATTGTCCATAACGGGTGTGTTGTGCCAGAAACGGGAAATTAACACTGGTTTTCGGCAAAAAAAAATGCCATAAATCATGGTCACATAACCGGAGGATGTTGCAAACTGCTTAAATAATAATAATAATAATAATAATAATAATAATAATAATAATAATAATAATAATAATAATAATAATAATAGTAAAGTTGGAAGGGACCTTGGAGGTCATCTAGTCCAACCCCCTGCTCAGGCAGGAAACCCTATACCATTTCGGACAAATGGCTGTCCAGTCTCTTCTTAAAAACTTCCAGTGTTGGAGCATTCACCGTTTCTGGAGGCAGGTAGTTCCACTGGTTAATTGTTCTCACTGTCAGGAAGTTTCTCCTTAGTTCTAGGTTGCTTCTCTCCTTGATCAGTTTCCACCCGTTGCTTCTTGTCCTGCCTCCAGGCGAGCAGCCAAAATGCTTTTTTTCCCTTCCCTTCCCTTCCCTTCCCTTCCCTTCCTTTCCTTTCCTTTTCCTTTCCTTCAGTTCCCTTCCTTTCATCCTTCCTTTCTCTTCCCTTCCCTTCCCTTTTCTTTTTTCCTCAATGCTCATGTCTCTTTCTTAATTCATCTCCCAAAGTTCCTCTGTGAAGCATCAGGGAACACAAGGGGGCAATTCCACCCCCAGCCCTGCCAATTCTGAATTCCTAAGACTGGCTGGGGGTCTGGCAGAATTACCCCCAGTTTGCAGAGACACATCCTGGTGGGTCAGTGTGAAAACAGCACATTTCAATAACTGAACAAGTCCAGGAAGGATCAAATTTTACAACAAACTTCATTATGCAGCCACATTCTTCTTCACTCAACACCTGCAAATGTGCAATGAATTAATCCATCAGATCTGGGAGTCAAGTCCTTGACCTTCCTTTCGCATTCCTCCTCGCACTCTCGGTGTTCACGGTTCACGGAGGCTCTCGTAAAAAGGCTGCCATGGAGGGTACACAAATCACTAATTTGCAAGAAGAGAAATGGCGGAGGTCACTCCCTGCCATTCTCCCAAGATCCCTCAGCCAGATGTTCTCAACTACCTCCATTTCCTCCAGTCTCTTTCCTGAGCAGATGGGCACAATTCCAGACAATGCATTCGAGTTAAGCCACAGGTCATGTCTACTTTGTGAAAAGGCCTCTGGAGGCTGTGTGGAACCGAGAGGCTCTCTTGGAAATAAAATACCACTTAGCTCTGCAAAGGCAGATTCCATTTATCATTGTTTTAAAGGACAGGACAGGACAGGACAGGACAGGACAGGGTAGGATAGGATAGGATAGGATAGGATAGAACAGAACAGCAAATAACAAATGGTTAGTGAAATGGAATTAAGACCTTCACAAAGAGCAGCCATAAAGTAAGTGAATCATAAAATCCTAAACTTGGAAGAGAACTTTCTGCCTGTCAAGTCAACCCTCTAATCAGAGCGGGAATCCACATTAAAACCTACCTGCAAGATGACTGCTCAGTGTCTGCTTGGACACAAAGAGGAGCATCGCCTCTTCGGCCGGTGGATTCCAGCACCAGACTTCTCTTCTTATTAAGACGTTTATTCCTAACGTTCAGTCAGAACCTGCCTTCCCATTAAATTATTTTTGAATTTTGCACCCTAGGTTATCCATAAAGGGTCTTGATTTCCTTTTGTGTGGTGTCTTTCAGGTGTTTGAAATGTTGCCTGCATTATACTCCCCTTCAGCCGTCTTTTGTGGGGGTGAAATACTAGGGCTGTGCATGCTTCAGAAAACATTCAGAAGAGGCGGGCTGCAGCACCCCTATAAAACGGGGAGATGATCGGCAACCGGCATGTATTTGTGACAGTGGCGCCATCCTGGGGCCACGGGATCCTCTCGTTTGTAACTTTCCCAGCTGGCTTCTAATAAGCAAAGTCAATGGGGGAAGGCAGACTCACTTAATGACGGCATGCTTCACTTACCAGCTGCAGTTATTTGAATAGCAACTCTGGCAAAAAGATCATAAAATGGAGCGCGACTCACTTAACCGCCTTGCTTGGGAATGGAGATTTGGGACTCAACTGTGGTCATAAATCAAGGACTGCCTGTATCGTGGGAAGAACATCTGGAGAAGGACGTATATGAAAAACACCTAGAAAACAGGTCGTATTTATTAAGAAAGTCTAATAATTGGGGAAATGGGGAAACCTAAGAGGGAAGAGGAGGGAAAGGAAGAAATGGAAGAGAAATAATAGAAGTTAAACAATGGAAATGGTGCTACATGTGTGAGAAAATGGTTTTGACCCTAGCCTCCCAGACGTGGGCTCAGCCCTAGATTGCAAATCACCTCACGCCTATCGCTTTATCTTCACTTGCTTGACTTGGCAGAAGTTTCACAGACATGGCAAAGAAGGAAAAAAATCATTATTGCACTGGAAAAAATAAAGTGATGCTAAACATTTGCTTTCCAGTGATCCTTTTTTTAACCTCAGAGGTCTAATCTCATGGCTTCTGCCTCCTTCCCTCCCTCCCAGGCCTGGTGCTGGCTGGCCTTGAAGCCAGCCAGGGGCTTTGTTGACATTGGGGCCAACGTCAGCCAACTGGCCGTAGTCCAGCCGGTCTGGGCACAGACCTCCTGAAGGTTTCTGGTGAGTAGATGGGGGTCTCGGGCAGAAGAGCGACGGCCCCGTGTCTTCGCTCATAAGACCTCAGTGGCAGCTAACATAGATGACTGTTTATGATGGTTTACTTCTCTATTTTATTTCGCTTGCCACATTTAATTCCATGTTTTTGACCATAGGGTGTTCACTGAGAAGCCCTTAATATGTGGCGACTCCATAGTGCCGTAACTCCTGCTCCGAGTGACACAATCCGTAGCTGCAAGATTTGGGGTGCTGTGTTTCTGCCTCACTTGACCAGGCGTTACCTGTAAACTCTCCCTTACAGGACGAGGGAGGCAAGGGACATTATCCAGTTTCCTTCTGTCACCGTTTTCCTTCTTACAATTTTCATCTGCTCCCCAATTTGACCCAAATGTTCTGATAAAAAGCACAAATCTTAAAAGGGCAAAGTTAATTGCTGTTGTCTTCTTCCTTCACCGTGCCCATGAATCCTAAGGGGGGGGGATCTCGTGTTGCAACGGTGCCTGCCGGGGGCAACCCCGTTCGGAACAGAAGCAAAAGAAGGGAAGATGCCCCCAGGAACGCTTCTCACCTGCTCCAGTCGAGACGCCCAGCAGTCGGCAAACGTATTCCAGCACACTCCAAACCACGGTTTGTTTCATGCTAGGAAGGCCTGCAGAGCTCCTGAGATGGTCCCTCCAAGTCTCTTCAGAGGGATTTCAGGAACAGCCGAGGCTTTCCGCAGCAGGGCTGAGCCTCTTCCTAAATCCAACTAAAAGCACATTAATTCCAAAGCTCCACAACCACACGGCACCCTCTTTTAACCTCCTTGGACCAGCCAGAACTGCATCTGGGGGGCTCCCGGTGACCTCTTCGTGCTGCCATTTACTCCGCTTTATTTCGGAGGGCAATTAATGATTACCGAGCAGAACAAACACATCAATTAATGCCTAAGGCTCTTTGGGTGGCATTTCAGCACAGGGCAAAGCTACCGAATGCATGCCAGCGCAAGGCGGATTAATTGCTATGGGAGGAAATCAGGGGCTTAAGACTTTGCCCCCTCTGTGTGAAAGTCCTGGCCCCATAAGTGGCTAAATAGCTGAAAAAAGCTACTGTATTTTTTAGTAAGCCATTCCGCTGGTTCATTGTTCTCCCTGTGAGGAAATTTCTCCTTAGTTCCAGGCTGGATCGCTCGTCAATGATCTTCCATCCATTATTCCTCATCCTGCCCGCTGGTGCTTTTGGAGAACAGGTTGTCCCCCTCTTCTTGTGGCAGCCCCTCAAACATGGAACGCCACCCCCGGCCCTTCTCTTCGCTTGGCCAGGCAGGCCACGTTCCGTTCTGCAACCGTTGCACTTGTCACTAGCTGGTTCTAGCTGCAGTTCCAGAGGCCGTTTTTGTGGTTTGAAAGACCCACACAGCTCAGGACTTGCCTATCCTGGAGACCCCCAAATGGCAGGTAATACCTGCCTATCCAGTGAGTATTCGGGAAGGATTCCCTTCAGGGCCCAGCTCCAAAGGAGTGTCCTCCCCCCCAGCCACAAGGCAGGATTTTCCCCATTGCTGGCCTGCACCTTCTGAGCCGAGGCCCCCCAAACTCAGACTAGCACCCCCTCCGCTGAGGTTTAGGAGGAGAGTCCTGAAGACCTGGCTCTCCCAGAAGAGACCGTGATGTGGCTGGGGACTCTCCTGCCTTGAGCTAAGATGACTGCATCGATTTGGGGACTTGCAGCTCTTTGGCGTGCTGCGATGAGAGAAACTGTTATTGTTATGTTTGCCGGGTTTACCGTTTTAATCCTTTTTACTGTAAGCCAGGAGTTGTACGTCACTTAGAACCGATTGTATTGAAGTGGGCTGTAATCCTAAATAAATAAGCATAATTCGATATCCACGAAGTCGCTGAAAGTCAAGCTTGACTTGAAGGAAGCTTTACTTTTGCTAAACACTGTTTATTTCCTGTACTCTGTGCATTGGTGTAGATAACTGGAACGTGGACTTTACATGCCAACCATCTTCCTGGTTTTTTTTTTATTAGAGTTTTTGAAAGCAACTGTCCATTTTTCTTCTAAAGTTCACAAGCCTTTATCTGCCCCACTTGTTTAAGCTTCTGATCTACAATCCTGGCAAGATTTAGCCCCCACGCCTTCCTGATTGAGCTCGCCAAGAACCGCATCTCTTCTGCCGCCAGCAATTCATCACGCAGAATACGCAACCTCTGCTCTCTCAAATGCTCTTTCTGCAGCAATAAATATCTAGCCAGGTTATATTGTTAGCTCATTCCCACATGCCTCACACCTAACCCCTGTTTTATGTCCTTCCCCTGTTTATCTCTCCCTTTTTTTAAACTTCTCTCCCCAGACAATAATGCCACCTACTAATAGATTTATTATTCCTTCCTGAGATAACACAGGATTATTTTTGCTGTAAAGACTAACATGGCAACTCCCTTGGAAATTATTTATGGTTGGTATTTAAAGGAATTCTGTCTCTCCCTCTGTGACCTTTCTCCTCACCCTGTTCCCTCCATGTTTGTAAAATGTTCTTCTCTTGGGGCTACTTTGTACTTCAGATAAACTAGTAGACTGTCATCTACCCGAGTTTAAGTGCCAGCAAAATCAGGCAATTTTTAAGCTGCCACCACACATTTTTATTTATTCGTGCATCTTGGAAAGCAGAAGGAAGTTAGTTCTTCTAACCACGTTTTTAAAGAAGACAACATCCAGCCCTTGTAGAGGCCGGGCTGCTTCAAGGTGCAAAGGCCTCACTGTGGAAGAACCCTTGGAAAAATCAACTGCAGAAGAGGAGACACCGGAGCGGAGTTAGAAGTCCAGAAAGCAGAATCATTAACAAGACAAGATCAAGGTTCAGGAAAATAGATTGGCAATAAATAAAATCAAAGTGGAAGAATCCAAAGACAGTCCAGAGGTGAGCCGCATAAACCTCCCAGTCACCTGGACCCCAAAACAGGGTCCGGATCACTGGAATCCGGGGCCAGAATTGTGCACAACAGACGCGAAGTCCTCAAAGCCACCTGGGAGGGGAGAGACGGCCCTAAGAGGGAGCCGGGAAAAGTCCCCGGAGACCCGGCCAGAATCAGCTCTTCTCGGCTTTGACTCTTTTCTTTATTTCCCCATTGATCACCGCCGCTCGTCTGACGCCGCAGGCGGCTCCGGGCGGCGGCCTCGGGGTCCCTCCTCTCCCGTCCCCCGCCAGTGGGGCGCCCGCGCCCCCTCCCGCCAAACGTGGCCCGGACGCCCACGGGTGGAGCAGCCCCTCGGGATGGGCCGGGACGGGGGGGCTCCTAAGGCCGCCTCCCCCGGCTCCGCGGCGCAGCTGGCGGCTCCGGCCACCTCCCNGGCGCGCCGGGGGACGCATCCGCAGCGCCGCCTTCGGTGAGCCCCGGGGCGCCTGGCGAGCCTCCGCGGGGAGGAGGGAGGGGCGGCCGGGTAGGGGCGGCGCCGGCCCCGCGGAGCCCCTTCCGAGGTCCCTGGAGCCCGGGCGGGGAGGGGGCGGCGGGGCTCGCTTCCCCTCCCGGGGGCTCCTCGGAGCGCCGCAGGACCCCTAAAGGGAGGAGGGCAGAGCCGGACCGGGCAGAGCCGGGCGCGTCTCCGGCTGCGAAGATCCGGGGGCAGCCGCGGCTCCCTCGTCCCTCGGCCGCCGCCCGGAGCCCCCAGTCCGGCCGAGCTGCCTGCAAGCGCTGAGAAGGGGGGGGGCTCGCTTGCAGCAGGGCGCGGGGCCCCGCCAGGAGCAGGGGGGGCGGCCCCGGTGCTGCCGGGGGGGGGGTCTGCCATCATCCCCGGGAATGCCGCCCCCCCCCGGGTGCAAAGGGGGCGCAGAGCCAGCCCCGGACTCTGCAAGCCCCGGGCTCTGGCCGAGGGGCGAGATGCAAAGCTGGGCTGAAAGGCGGGCTGCTCTCCGCAGGCAAGGGCGTGGTGGAGGTCGGGGCGCAGTGGATCCACGGGCCCTCCGAGGGCAACCCGGTCTTCCAGCTGGCCTCGGAGGCCGGCTTGCTGGGCGAGGAGGCCCTGACGGAAGAGAACCAGCGGCTGGAGGTGCAGGGCCACCCGGCGGGGCCCTTCGCCTGGTACTCCAGCCAGGGCCGGGAGCTGAAGGCCGAGCTGGCCGAGTCCCTGGGCCTCTTCTTCGCCAGCCTCCTGGAGGAAGCGCGCCAGTTCGTGCAGGCGGACCCAGTGCCCGTGCCCAGCCTGGGCGAGTACCTGAAAGACGCCATAGCCAAGAAGCTGCTGGGAGAGTCCCCGGAGGAGGAGGAGGAGGAGGAGACCAGGCGCCTCAAGTTGGCCGTCCTCAACTCCTACTTCAAGATGGAGTGCTGTGTGAATGCCACGGACAGCCTGGACGAGTTGGCTCTGGGGCCCTTCGGAGAGTACCTCATGCTTCCTGGCCTGGACTGCACCTTTCCCGAGTGAGTGCTCCCCCCACCCCCCAGCTCTCATTTGGAAAAAGAAATAGTGAAAATCCTTCGGTTGTTTCACTCCCAGGTTTTTAGTTATCCTGGAGACTCCCTTGCTCAGAGGGAGATGTAATAAGGTAATAATGATAAAGTTGGAAGGGACCTTGAAGGTCATCTAGTCCAACCCCCTGCTCAGGCAGGAAACCCTATACCATTTCAGACAAATGGCTGTCCTGTCTCTTCTTAAAAACTTCCAGTGTTGGAGCATTCACCGCTTCTGGAGGCAGGTTGTTCCCCTGGTTAATTTGTTCTAACCGTCAGGAAGATGTTGGGGTTTAGCTTTGGAAGGACAGGTGAGCCCCACAAAGAGACCCCTGTTTTTGCTTTTGGGACTTTCGGTTAAGTCAGGGGTAGGCAACCTTGGCTCTTTTATGACTGATGGACTTTAACTCCCAGAATTCCTGAGCCAGCGTTCTGGGAGTTGAAGTCCATCAGTCATAAAAGAGCCAAGGTTGCCTACCCCTGGGTTAAGTCCTTGTGCATTTCAGCAATTCCTTTATCTGCCTCGTGTCTTCTGTAATCTCTCCTCTAGGTGGAATTTTAAGGTTTATTTCCCTCGCGTGTTCTCCTGGTTCTCCTCTTTTTTGTTTTTATAGAGGGCAGCTTGGATTCTGAGCTTCCAATTTAATAAGAAGAAATCTGCACCGAAGTACATTTCAGGCTGCCTAACTTTTTGTGTGTTCCTCCTAGTGGTTTTCAAGGCCTCACAGACCACCTCCTGGCCTCTCTCCCCAAAGGGACTGTGCTGTTTGATAAGCCGGTGAAGACGATTCACTGGGGAGGGCCCCACTTGGAAGAGGCCTCCACAGGCCGGCTCTTTGGCGTGCAGGTGGAATGTGAAGATGGAGAGAAGTTCTTAGCAGACCACGTCATCGTTACGGTGCCTTTAGGTGAAATCTCAGTGCAAATCTTCCTGCATTTGGGTTTATTGCCATTTTGTGTCAACATTTTTCTGCGCTGCAACACAATAAATTTACTTTTGCTACCTGGTCAGTGTGTTGCTACCAGGTTAGCAAGCAGTCATCTAGAGAAGGAAGAGGAGTTACTTAGGACACCGTTAGTCTAGCTCTCGAATTTGAGGAAGTCGAATTGTAAGATTATTTGTTTACAGTTATTTGTGCATCTTGCCTCAAAATGGCAGGGCCCGATGCCATTCGTATTAACTAAGAAAGATTCAGTGGACCACACAA